AGAAAGCCTTTGAGCTCCATACTGTTCCAGAAATAATCCTTGATAATTCATGATATGGCGTTTCATCACCACAGTATCTGCCGGTAGAATCTCCCGCATGAGCTCAGCCCCCCTCCTTTTTTCAAATCAGCACTTTTGAAACAGGAAGTGAAATAGAGGGATATGAGGCATGGCTAGAATGGGTGATCTNTATAATTTCTCCGTCATAATCGGTTGTTTCCGTGAACGGCCGACTGTTGTGTGATGGCAAATTCTGCAGCTGCAAGGCATTGTGGGGCAGCATTTTCTCTTCTCCTTTCGGTAAGGGAGGTTCAATGGTTCCTAAACTAAAGGAGGTTATAAAGAAAGTTTGAAACCTCCTTTCCTATCATATAGAGAATTCAAACTGCACTTATGATTAAGATGTATGCGCTCATACATCTTAAGAAAGTTATCACCAAAAATGTTAAGAATGTTTTTAGAGAACGTTATCCTACCTTTCAGAAGAACATTCTGGGAACCAAAATAAAACGCCCCGCTGATAACGTTTTAAGAACAGTAGGGCAACGTTTTATAAAAAAAGAATAACATCCTGAAAACATTTTCAGAATGTTTCTTGGAGAATGTTCTTCATTTGTTATCATGTGACATTGAGGGACTGAAAATGTTTTCAGGATGTTATTCTTTTTTTATAAAACGTTGCCCTACNGGAGAGAGTTAAGAGAGTGAGGGATGAGAGGCTCCAGGTTGTTGAATTGAAAATATTCGATGTAGAATACTGTTGTCATGTGTTCCAATGATGAATAAACAAAAATTTCATAAAGCATATTTTGTGCAAGCTCAGCTATGTTGATAAGGAGAATTAATAAAACTTGAAAAAGTATTCCTTTTAAGTGAACATTTAGGAAACAGTAACAAAAATGTGCGATTAATCGCGGTCAAAGTATTTTAATCAACTGTACGAGCCTTTAAAGCTTTATACCCAAAATCAGCACTTTTGAAACAGGAAGTGAAATAGAGGGATATGAGGCATGGCTAGAATGGGTGATCTGTTTGGTATTTTGAGCAAAACACTTCATAGACATGTTTTTTATATATTTGTATATATCTGAGACCTATGCTATTGCCTAAAAATAGCATGATAGGTGACCTTTAAGTTTATTGAATTAAGAACATGCTGCAGAGCCAAAGGTTCCATGATTATTGTACAAATCGGCTGTGGCTCAGTGGATAGAGTGCTGGACTTCGAATCAGGGGGTAGCAAGTTCGAGTCCCACTGCAGTCAGCATGTCGTTGTGTCCCTGGGCAAGACACTTCACCCCAAATTGCTCCTGTGGGGATTGTCCACAGTTCTGAATATATGTAAGTCGCTTTGGATAAAACCGTCTAACAAATGACATGTAAATCAAAATTTTGAATTTTGTGCTCATTCCCATATTTTGAGAACAACAGTTCTTGATTATTATTCAATGAAGTTTAATTATATATAAGCTCCCAAACTAATTTGACACCCATCTAATTCCTAAGAAGGCCCAAATTGAAAACATGGCTCAGGCAACAATAAGCAATACTTGGCAGAAGCATCTTCCCTAATCCACAAGTAAAAAGCCTGTTTGCATGCATGTGACTATTCTTTCATCTAATGCTTTATCTAATGCACCCTGGTCTTTAAACAAACACATGCATTGGAGTTGAGTGCACAATGTATTTTGTCTTTATTAATAAAATGACTGTGTGTCAACCTGAGAAATATTGCAAATGGCTTGCACCCTACTTTACAATCCGTTAATATTAAAACCATAAATGTTCCCATGTCATTGCAGACCTGACGTGATTGAGTTTGACAACCTGAAGAGGTCCAATGCTCACTACAATCTCCAGAATGCTTTCAATGTGGCTGAGAAGGATTTGGGACTCACTAAGCTGCTGGACCCAGAAGGTGAGTGGGTGAAGCCTCGACAAAAACATGAAGCATTTCTATCACAAGTCACACTGACGACACTGTCCACACAGGCACTAAACTGGGGCCTGTTGCCTGAACAGATTGATGGCTGTTCAGGATTACTGGAATTAATTCTAGCTTAGGCAACACAGCATCACATGTCAGCTACACTGACATCACAAATGGTGTTTCCATTGTAGCACCTAATCAACTTAAACTTGACATTTAAAAGGTGAAGTGATGAAGTCATAATATGTCATTCAGCAATTACATTGTGATTTTCAGATTAGTTTTAAAGCATAGCCTGCTGTGTAAAGTACCACATCATGATACACCTTATTTTTCGCTGATAAAAAAGGAACACTTTAAAAATCCGGTGTTTTTCATTAATTTCACATAATAAAAAAAACATCATGCAACCCTAGTTTAGGTTATTTCACTTGCAAATGGATCATACTAGGGCTGTGCAATTATTTGTATTTAATCTCGATTGCGATTTTGGCTTGCAGCGATTACGAAAACAACGTAATCAAAATCAAACATTTTTAATTTTATTTTTTATTTGTATTGGTTTTTCAGTTGAATTATACTTAAAGTTCAGGGTAATCAACTGTTAAAAACATATTGTTCAAAAAAATGTTTTCAATAAATGGATGTTTTCAAAGTAAATGGATAATCGTTTTTAATAATCGTGATATCAATTATTGACCAAAAATAATCGTGATTATGATTTTTGCAATAATCGCACAGCCCTAGATCATACTATCTTTTTTATTTTCAGATGTTAATGTTGATCAGCCAGATGAAAAGTCCATCATTACCTATGTGGCGACCTACTACCATTACTTCTCCAAGATGAAAGCCCTGGCAGTGGAAGGCAAACGTGTTGGAAAGGTTTGCTTTGTTCTGTGTGTATCAGAATACCTTTATTAGTCCCACGGAGGGGAAATTTGCGTAGTTACAGCTGGAAAAAGAGCCACAGACAGCTTAATGTTACATATGTTAAATATGTGACATGCATTCAAAAAAAGTACTAAGTACTAAAAAATATATAATAAAAAATAAAAAGTTACATAATTTAAAAGAAATACACATCCTGTAACAGTTCTTAGGATTTAGCAGCCAGGTATTTATTACACAGTTATTAACGGCATTTATATATTGCACATATTGCACATAGTTTGTTCGTATTTAGCAGCAAGGGGTGATATAGTCTGTGTTGTGGTGTGTGTGGGAGTGGGGGGGGTCAACTAGGGGCTTTGCTGTTTGTATAGTCTGACCGCTGCAGGAAGGAAAGAACTGCGGTATCTCTCCGTGAGACAGTGTATGCATGTTTAAAAACAATGGGTACATGTACAGTTCATGGGAAGATGCCCACCAGTTGCCTTGATTCACAGATCCCTCTCTGTTGCAGGTACTGGACTATGCTATTGAGGCTGACCAGCTGATAGACAAGTATGAGTCCCTTGCCTCAGAGCTGTTGCAGTGGATTGAGCAGACCATAGGGACGCTGAACGATCGGCAGCTAGCTAACTCACTGAATGCTGTGCAGAACCAGCTCCAGGCGTTCAACTCATACCGGACTGTGGAGAAACCCCCCAAGTGAGTAACAGAAGGCTGGGTTAACATAAACACAATGAATGACAATCTGCTTGTTATCCAATATAATCCAAAGTGTGTTGTTCCAAAATGTTAAACCAAGATTTCTGTCTCCCCAGATTTACAGAGAAAGGGAACTTGGAGGTTCTCCTTTTTACCATTCGAAGCAAGATGAGAGCCAACAATCAGAAAGTGTACATGCCAAGAGAGGGCAAACTCATCTCTGACATCAATAAGGTATAACGTGCTACAAATGGTTTTCCCTCTAGAAATATGAAACTCATGTTTAATAATGTCATCAAATCAACACAAGCATGCTGCTGGGAAAATTGTTAAAGGTCCCATGTCATGCTTTTCTGGTTATTACCCGTCCCCTTGTGTGTTATGAAGTTTTTTATGCATGTAAATGTTCTGCAGAGTCACAAACCCTCAAAGTACACCCTGTAGCGAGTAAAACTCTAACACAGAATAGACCTGTCTATGCTGCCCCAGAACATCTCGTTGGAGATTTCTCTTTTTTCATTGCTTACTTCTTGGGTATAGTGATGTATTTAGTGATGTAACGTAACGTCCGTGGAGCCTTTATGTTTGGACCAATCTGCGGACTTCCTCACACACACACACTCGACGGGACGTAGCGAGGCTCGCTGCTGCGAGGAACGGGACACTGTGAGCTGGTGTAGGGTCGGCAAGACAGCGAGACACCGCGGAACTCAGCCTGAGCACACACACAAACTCCCAGCCAGGCTGCGGGTGTGTGTGTGTGTTCGGGCTGGGTTTCGCTGTGTCTTGCTGTCTCGTAGATGGCCACTGGGCTCACAGGGAGGGAAGGGGGGCAGGAGCTCCAACAAGCCGTTTAGGACAGAGTGAATACACATACTATACAGAGATGCTGTATGAAAAGCCAATGTGAGTTTGGAAAATTGCACAATATAAATCTATTCTAGTAGACCTCAACAATGGAATTATGATCAGTAGAAATGGCCATGACATGGGACCTTTAATGTTCGACTGAATGTTTTCATAGCCCGCAGGATTATCATCTAAAAACTGGGTTTTACAAATTGTCCTCATCGTGTATGCAGCATATGTTTCCTAGTTGCAGGAGGTAACCAACTGTTTCTATTTATATGTGGCAGGCATGGGAGCGATTGGAAAAGGCAGAACACGAACGAGAGCTGGCTCTGAGGAATGAGTTGATTCGCCAGGAGAAGCTGGAGATGCTCGCTGCACGTTTTGACCGCAAAGCAGCTATGCGGGAGACGTGGCTGAGTGAGAACCAGAGGCTGGTGTCTCAGGTAGTCAAACTAGATTTGATTCAATCAACAAAAACACAAACATATGGCTGCAGATACTTTCTTATTTCTGTCTGAATACATTGAATAGTTTTAATGTGATAAGCTCACTCATCTCTCTCACTAGGATAACTTTGGGACTGACTTGGGAGCCGTGGAAGCTGCCACCCGTAAACACGAAGCCATCGAGACAGACATCGGGGCTTATTGGGAACGCGTGGCTGCTGTGGAGTCCGTTGCCAAAGAGCTGGAAGCCGAGAGATACCATGATGTGCGGCGTGTGACTGCGAGAAGGGATAACGTGCTCCGACTCTGGGAATACCTGAAAGAGCTTCTGGCCGCACGTAGAGAGCGGCTGAACGCGCATCGTGACCTCCAGAGACTGTTTGAAGAGATGCGCTACATTATGGACTGGATGGCAGACATGAAGGTACTGACCCCCTGCTGTGCATTTCTTCTTTCTGTTGGCTTTGTTTTTAATCAACAAAAAGGAATGTTCTAATCCTCTCAATGAAGTGAGTTGTTGTTCACATATGGCAGCTTTAGTGTCTGCGCTAATCAGTGCACCATTAACGACAGTAATTAGCTTTACTGAAGTTGGCTAGACTTCAACCACTAGGAGTGTGTCTTTTTCTCCTTGCATGGTTACATTTTGGTCAAAATGTGTGTGTTTATCAATAATTATTACATGGCTTAGTTGAATACTCGATTCTGATTGGTCAATTCAGAACACGTGACACGTTGTTAATCCAGTAGTACAGACCGCTGTCAAGCACTTATTGACCGTTGTTAAGGACGCTCACATCTGCACAAAGAAGTTTGGTCGATTGAACTGTATGCAGTTTTCGAACTGACAAGACAAGAGCGACAAGAAAACAGCGGAGAAGTAACGGGCAGGAAGCCTCCTTTTTACGCAGCGGTCCAGACATAGACATCAAACGGCAAAACATATTCAGTTGCCAGTTACTTTGGCATTAGGGCAGGGATATCTAGATACTTAAGCTTTGACATCATGAAGAGCAGCAAGCAGCAAGCAGCGATGTTTTCAAATCTGTAATCAAAAAGCTCCGCCTTCCTGCCGTTGCTACGTATTTCAAACGGTAACAACGGACTATTTTTCTTAGCGGATGCATGTCAATTTAAATCAATACAAACAACTATTTTTAAATCAATAAAAACATTTTCTAAATCCATAAAAGCATTTCAATTGATATTGGGAGTCATGTCGTTACTTTGTTGAGAATGTGGTCATCGTGGGGAAAAGAACATCCTTCATGCCGATCAAGAGCATGCTGTCGGGTGTTCTTCTTTTCCCCATAATGACCGCCTTGCTGCACATTATCCCTTACTTGTTTTAAAATTGTGAACATCCATATATAAGGCATCTGTTTAAAATACTAACATGCTTGCCTCTCAACACCTTTAACCAAATATAGCTTATTTGGTACTCTTATCATTACTAACTAACAAAGAAGTGTTTTAATTTAATGAGGAAGAATTAGATGGATGGATTCATTGCTTCTGTCATTTTCAGTGGTTACTAGAATCATGTTGTTAATGTCTTGGTTTGTAATCAGCCATTATTATATCATGAGAATGCTTGTAGAGAGAATATGATGTCTTTTTTTAACTGTGGCTTTAGCACAGTGGTGTAGTGATATAATGGTCTTCTGCTCTAATGGCTCAGATAGAGGAATTCTCTCAGCTGTGGATTGAGAAGCAAGGCTCAGGCTCCCTGTGTGTTCAGGTTAATGGTCTGAGGATGCAGCTTGCTGAAATTCTATCCGCTGTTATAATAGTCTTTTTGGTTGTTTAGATTATCACCAAGTACAAGACGTATCTCAATGTATGGTCATGATGTTTGAGGAAACACCTACATTCCGGTGCTGCTTTGTTGGAGGATCAAAGGTCCCATGACATGCTTTTCCGGTTATTACCCGTCCCCTTGTGTGTTATGAAGTTTTTATGCATGTAAACGGTCTGCAGAGTCACAAACCCTCAAAGTACACCCTGTAGCGAGTAAAACTCTAACACAGAAAATACCTGTTTATGCTGCCCCAGAACGCCTCGTTGGAGATTTCTTTTTCCATTGTTTACTTCTTGGGTATAGTGACGTATTTGGGTATAGTGACGTAAGGTAACGACTTCCTCACACACACACTCGGCGGGACGTTGCGAGGCTCGCTGCTGCGAGGAGCTGGACAGTGTGAGCCGGCTCACTGGTGTGGGGTCGGCGAGACACCGCGGAACTCTGCCTGAGCACACACACAAACTCCCAGCCAGGCTGCGGGTCTGTGTGTGTTTTGGGCTGGGTTTTTGCTGTGTCTTGCTGTCTCGCAGACGGCCACTGGGCTCACAGGGAGGGAGGGGGGCAGGAGCTCCAACAAGCCGTTTAGGACAGAGTGAATACACATACTATACAGAGATGCTGTATGAGAAACCAATGTGAGTTTGGAAAATTGCACAATATAAATCTATTCTAGTAGACCTCAACAATGGAATTAGGATCAGTAGAAATGGCCATGACATGGGACCTTTAAATGTTTTGCTTTTAAAGATGAAATAACTAAATATTCCTTTCTTCTGTGTTCTTTTTCAGGGTCGTCTGCAGTCTCAGGACAGCGGCAAACATTTGCATGATGTTTTAGACCTCCTGCAGAAACACACTCTGGTAGAAGCGGACATATCCGCTCAGGCAGAGAGGATCAAGGTGGTCCAGGGATCTGCACAGCGCTTCACTTCCTATGAACAGGGTGAGTCCTTTAACAGGTTTTTAACATATTCCCTGTGCAGAACATGCAGCTTAAGTCTTACCTATGTGGGCGCAATTTCATTACTCTCCTTTTTCAAATGCCAGCCTACAAACCGTGTGAGCCGGGGCTAGTTAGTGAGAAGGTCGACCAGCTGGGTCAAGCCTATGAAGAACTCGGTCAGCTTGCTTCAAACCGCAAAGTTTGCCTGGAGGAGTCGCGCCGTCTGTGGCAGTTTCTGTGGGATATTGGAGAGGAGGCAGCCTGGATCAGAGAGCAGGAGCAGATCCTGGCGAGTGGGGAATGTGGCCGTGACCTCACCTCTGCCCTTCACCTGCTCAGCAAACATGAAGCCTTCACGGATGAGATGGCAGCCCGTTATGGTCCCCTGAGTAACAGCATCGCTGCCGGAGAAGCTTTGGTTGAGGAGGGACACTTTGGAGCCCCAGAGGTCACCGAGAGGATTCAAGACATCCATGCACAGTGGGCACATCTGGAGGAGGTGCGTGGATATCACAGTCGCTATGCATAATAAAGCTATTCCAAAAATTCTTTTTTTGTGTTTGTAATCTTTTCACTTTATCTACTCCCTAGACAACCAAGCTTAGAGAGCAGAGCCTCAAGGAAGCTGTGGCCCTGCAGCAGTTTCAAACAGATGCTAATGACATGGAGGTATGGATCATGGAGACACTTAGACGGGTGTCCAGTCAGGAGGTCGGCCACGATGAGTTCTCCACCACAACCATTGCCCGCAAGCAGAGGGAGATCGAGGAGGAGATCCAGAGTCACCGCCCCGGCATCGACTCCATGCATGAGCAGGTCCAAGCAATGCCAGAGGCCTATCTAACAATCCCTCAGGTATGTGTGCTTTGTTTTTCCTACTTCTTCAGTGATGACATGCTGCTTGTAGTACTAAATTATTGTTTGTGGCTGATTGTAGGTGGAGGGTCGCCTTCCTGCTATTGAGCAGCGCTTTGAAGAACTGGAGTCTCTGTCAGTAGCTCGCCGCCAGGCTCTGGAAGGCGCCCTGGCCCTCTACCGCATGTTCAGTGAAGCTGGTGCCTGCCAGCTGTGGGTGGAGGAGAAGGAGCAGTGGTTACACAGCATGGAGATCCCCACCAAACTAGAGGACTTAGAGGTGGTGCAGCAGAGGTCAGTCATGGGGTAAAGGAGGGGAAGAATGCTAATAGAGTGCCACAGTGACGCTTCCTAAAACCCGGAAGCGAGTTTGACCACTTCCGATGGTCAAATCGGCAATTCGACAAAAAAGCAATGCAATTTCTCCATAGGATTTTGGAAAATAGCTGGAAATAAGGTCTGTGGTTGACACACATTTAAGAGACGGATCACGTTTTGTTCTACGACATTAAATACATCAGCAGTGACCCCTCTGGTGATTTCTGAAGAGTTTACGTGTCTGAAAAACGATGGTTTTTACCATGTGGCTGAATAGGACTACAGAAGTTCTCGAGGCCGTTGTACGTCATTACTCCGAACACGTGAACACTCCCGCTAAGTTTGTTTTTCCCCGTGTTCTGCTTCAAAGCAAGTACCTGCCTCCTGCAAACTGTTAAAACAAACACTTCAACTTGTACCATTTAGAATCTGTAGTTTTGAATATGGATCTTAATTTGGCGTGACGTTGAAGCAGCGACCCTGCTGTAGTTCGTTTATAGCATAACGTTAGCATTTTGCTTCTGGCGATTAGATTTATGATTAGAAAATTATAAAAGTAGGGTAGACCTGTGGAGATTATCCGACTGAACAAAACGTGATCCGTCTCTTAAATGCGTGTCGACCACAGCCCTTATTTCCAACTATTTTCCAAAATCCTATGGAGAAATTGAATTGCTTTTTTGTTGAAGGAACCGGAAGGAGTTTACTTCCGGGTTTTAGGACGCGTCACTGTGGCACTCTGAAGAACAGTTTGTTAAGCTTTCCCCTTATTTCCTCCAGGCATCTTAAGAATAAGGAGAATGCTAATGAATTGCTGACAAAGCTTAAGGATAACCGTGAACTGCAGCACTTCCTACAGGATGGACAGGAGGTAAACAAAAAAACACTGTTATGAATAAATATGGGATGTGATATGTGATGTGATAATTGTGAAAATTAGCTAGTATTGCCGAAAACTAACTATAGAGTTTGTTTCTATTGTTTGTTTTTATTTCAATTGTTATGCTATTCTCTTGTTTGTAGCTCACATTGTGGATCAATGAGAAGATGCTGACGGCACAGGATATGTCTTATGATGAGGCCAGAAATCTTCACAGCAAGTGGCAGAAACATCAGGCCTTCATGGCTGAGCTGGCCTCAAACAAAGACTGGCTGGACAAAATTGATAAGGTGTGGCCATTTTTATATTCATTGTCATCAAGTGTAATGTCATTTAAAACTAGAACCGCCAGAGGTCTCTGTATACCTAAAACCGCCAACGGGTCAAATTTACCCGCTATTGATTTTCAAGGTACAATGTTCTTTTATTTATCATGTAGAACAGTGAGTTTTGATCGCACAGGGATTAAACTTATACCAATAGAATCTTTGGACTCTCAGCTTTTCATGTGATATAGTTTGTGCAGATAGCATGAAGTATAAAATATCACTACCAGTGCTGATTTAAACGCTTGGTGTTAGACTTGTGTTTTGTTTAGGTATCTCTATCTCTCTCTCTATCCATCTTATAACTATCTATCGATCTATCTATAACTATCTATCTGTCTATCTATCTCTATCTATATGTCTATCTATCTCTATCTATCTATCTACTGTACATAACACACTTTCAGGAAAAGTCACGAACTGGGAGACTTTAATATTTTATTGAAAAAAAGTTACATAAAATCAAAAGACAGCTGCGGGTAAAATTGACCCGTTAGCGGTTCTAGTGTTAAAAAGCACTCGGAAATCTGTTCATCTGCGCGTTGATCAGTAGGCTGATCCTCAAGGCTAGATAGCATATCAATAATATATTATATTTCAAAGCAAAACTGACGCTAATTCAAACTTGTTCTTGTTTTGTGCCTCCAACAGGAAGGTCAGGCGCTGGTGGCAGAGAAGCCGGAGCTGAAGCCTGTTGTTCAGAAGACCCTGGAGGACCTCCAGCGGCAGTGGGAGGAGCTTGAGGGCACCACCCGCACCAAGGCCCAGTGCCTGTTCGATGCTAACCGGGCAGAGCTGTTCACACAGAGCTGCTCTTCTCTGGACGTCTGGCTGAAAAACCTTGAGGGTCAGCTGCATAGCGACGACTACGGCAAAGATTTGACTAGTGTCAACATCCTGCTCCAGAAGCACCAGGTAGACTGAACTGCTAGCAAAGCTCAATGTATGCCATCTATAACAATGTGCAATGAAACCTGGCCAAACCCTTAAAATGGAGATTGCCAAATGTCATATTTTCTTGTCTAACATTGTTTTACTTTCCCCGTGTAGATGCTGGAGAACCAGATGGAGGTCAGAGAGAAGGAGGTTCAGTCCATCCAGTCTCAGGCTCTGGCTCTGTCCCAGGAGGACGCTGGCCTCACTGAGGTAGACGGACAGCAAAAGCATGTCACTGACAACTTCTCCAACCTTCAGGACCCTCTCAAACTGAGGAGACAGCGGCTGCTCGCCTCCAAAGAAGCACATCAGTTCAACAGAGATCTGGAAGATGAAATTGTGAGTCTGACTGAATGCATCAATTAAATATAGAAGTTTGGAGAAAATAAGTGTTTGTATTGCATCCTGTTTGGACCGATTGTTATATTAATTTGTCTGTTTTTCTCTCAGCTATGGGTGAAAGAGAGGATGCCCCTGGCAGACTCCACAGACCATGGGAAAGACCTGCCCACTGTACAGCTGCTCATAAAGAAGAACCAGGTACACTGAGACTTGCTTTTTCTTGTATTGTTTGTCCAAAAAAAAGTAAAGGCTTAACCCTTAGATGCCCTTAGAGTGACTGAACCCTACACTCTTCCATAAGTGGGTCAAAAAGGACCCGTATTAGAATAATATGTGTTTTTATGCCATTTTTGTCATTTTGGTTAAGAAAAATCACTTGCATAATATTTAGTATTATGTTTTGGTTCACACTAGAAGTATTTTATATTTAATTTTTCACTATTTATAATTTTAGACATTTTTTTTTTACATTTTGAAAAAGAACGTTTTGAACATATTGTCCCAAAGATCTCCGCTATTCTGAGACCCTCGCAGTATTCCAGTCCCTTTTCAAAACTCATCAATCCATCAATCAATCATCAATCAATGCCGACTTTGATAGTCCTATACCCCCCACCCTAACCTTCCCTTATATTGTAAAGCGATGTTGAGTCCTTGAGAAGCCCTATACAAATATAATGTATTATTATTATT